AATTATTTAAAATCACGATTTCCTACGAATGTGGTGGGAATACAGTCGTTATTCGAATGATAATTATAATCCAACATCTGCGGCGACTATAATTTAATGGACATTTCGCGACAAGTTACGATGCTTTCTGAATAAGATATGTACTTGAATATGCATATATGCTCGCTATTCTTTACTTTAACGTCGAAATCGTATTCGAATGGTTTCGTAACTCGAGCTATTAAGTTAATTTATCAATCTCGTTGTGACGCATCATTGTCGATGCTTGTACTTTGCTTTTAATCCGTTCTCAAATCGTTATTAAAATTTATGTATATAAAGACAATATATATGCTTCATTCGATGAAAATATCAGACTTGCTTTATAATTTCGGAAGATACTTATAATACTTAACAAAATATCTTTGAAATTGTAGATTAAAAATTGTTTTAATTAACAACAAAAAGAATGCATATCAAGAAAAAATAACAAATTATGAAAAATGTTTTTGGCAATTTTCTAATTTTTTACTTAATTCTCCGCTTTATGTTTTCTTTTATTGGAGAAAATATGCGCAGATATATAAAAATATAATTTCTTATATTTATAAAATAATTCAAAACGTGCAATTTCTGCGAGAGTAACATGGGTTTCTCCGTAAAAGAAATTAATTCGCTTTAGCTCGGAAATTTTCCCGGATTTTATCGAAATAGGATTATACAATTAATTTCTGATTGGCAAAATGCAAAGAATATAACACATATTATTTCAATAAAATACATTAATTTTCTCGAAATTAAATATCGATTTTACATCAACGAGCTCTCGAGAAAATTTCGAAAATTATTGATATAATATTGACACATTTCATATGCAGCAACCTATAATAATCTAACGCGTATGTTTCTCGCGACTAATAAAATCTGCATCCTCTGTTTATATGCAATATGATATAGCAAAATAATTCTAATCTATAGATTTCAATTTGAAGAAAAGAAGTGGGCAACGTATATAAAGATCTGAAAGTGAATTGCGTGGGAAAAGGTTTCATGAACGAAGGGCAATTCTCATATTTGCTCCGCTGCATTCTGACGAAGACTAATTCGCCGAAGGAAACACAGTGACTGGGCAAGATCGGGCGGATGATCATTGCGAAAACACCCGCGCATTCCTTTGATTCGCCGCTGTAACGAGTTATTTAGTAGTATTCCCCGTAGCAGCTCCGCGGTTCATCGCGCTATAATGGCTACCGAGTGCATCACGTTTCCCCCCGAGGTCAACGTGATGCATCCAAGCCGCGTTCTCGATGTGCCCCTCGCGTTTGTTTTCCAGTCAAGGAGCAACGCGCATACACGTGGGCTGCTTTGTTGATTACTGATAACTCTTTGTTTCGCGATATCATACGATTTTATTTCTATATGAAATCTGTGTGCGTCTTTTGATTTAGATCTCTTTAATTTTATCTAAGGATTAAAATAATGAAACGTCGACTCTAAAAGCTGGAGTAATTAAATATGGTGTAATGTAATGTTGTAATAATCATCGTAATAATTAGAGAAAAATTTAGTTTGTAAGAGATGTTTAGTTTCATTATATATCAGTATGCATGTAAATAAAGAATCGTGCGCGTATATATCCATATGTCAAAAAATATTTGTCTAAATTTATTCGTTTCCCCCGTTTTAACCCATTAAATTCTGTTAGCGAATTTGATTGAAACAAACTCGTTTCCAAAAAAAATAATTTCACAAAATTAAGAAGCTTTAATGACTTAATAATCTCATGTGTATCGTTTCCGACCAATTAAACAATTATATATCATAATTTATAGTAGCGTCTATGCAATAAATTTTATATGTGAATCTTTGATAGAAGAGTTTAAAGTAAAATGTGGAAATGATGCGTCGAAAATTTGTCACGTGCAATAAGAATGTATACACGAACATCTCGAAATTCAAAGCGCATCAGAGGGTCAATTCAGACAGGCCGGCGACAAGGAAGACTGACGAAATGCATTTGGATGCATGCTGCCGTTCCATGTGATCAGATATGCACGCAATCGCCGTGCCGCTGCGCGCGCCCGTAGGCGTGCACGCGTGTGCACGTGGGCGCGTCGTGTGCACTGTCCGTGATGCGCTTCGCGCGTGACCATCATCGGTACACGAAAGCATATCTATCTATATACGATGGCCACGCATATTGCTATGAAGCAGAGAAAATTGCACGATTTCAATATGCGTTCGATTTTCGATATACTATATAACAAAAAAAATATATGTATATTTTTTCTTCTTGTATACGCGTCGTTTCTCCCAATTGTCGCGCGTTTCCATTGTCCCGAATAATTATGGAGATCATTTTCGTGTGGCTACACCGAAATCTGATATCTGATAAATTGTACCGGTTTTAATCTTTGGAATAAAATATGTAATGCGCATCACACGCAATGTATATTGAAATTCAAAAGCATTCAGATGGATATCAAATATTTAGACATAATGTGTATATCTGTTATTTATAATCATTATTAATCATTAATTTTCATTTCACTCAATTCGTTAATTTGAAATTTAATGATTTTTAAATCCTCTATCATAAATTGTATCACCAAGGAATGATATTTTTCTCATTACGACTACGGTGACCATTTTTTCAAAGAAAATAAAGGACAAATTTGAAAATTATTTCAATATGTTTCCAAATCAGTTTGCGACCAAAGTTACCTTTTCTATATTCGAAATTCAAACTCGTCTAAAGATTGGAAACCAAAAAAATAACTGTGGTTTATCACATTTTTTAATTTGAAATTCATTACAAATAACTAATGTCGTTCTTAGAGGAAATTACATTGACCAATTGTTTCCGTCAAAATTCGCACGTTAATATGACATTTAAAACGCCAAATAAAAAATACGGGGCAAAATTAAGTTTGAAAAAAAAATAAATCTAAAAGACAGCTAGTTGAAAAAAGGACTGTCTGAAATAAAGGGCGGATGGTCACCGTAATTATAACACAATTATTTTTTTACGATACAAGATATATTTTGATAACACAGTGTAACATGCGCTTATACGCGTGTACGCATTAATTGTATTTCGAGGTTTCTCGCTTCGAGCAAAAACCATGTATCCTGTAAACCAGAAACCCGACCTCTCATAAAACAGTTTCGTGATATGGCGATAGTTGAAACATGATTTCACACGAGATTTTAAGTTGCGACGCGAGCATCGTGTTTCTCCTGTCCGGAACGAGACATTGAAATATAACTCACGATACAGATGCAAGTTCCACCATGTGAACTTGGGTTTTGCATCACAAAGATAGGCGGTGCAGAGAGATACATGTGCGTTAAAATGATGAATTTCATATCACGAAAGTTTTGCTACTGGACATGCTACACTTTATATATTCTTTTGATATTAACAAAATTTAATTTTCTTGGGATTTAATTGAAAACACAATTGCGAAATTTTATAAAAATTATACATATAATTATGATTTAAATTCTTAAAGATCAATTTTTCTGATCGTTCAAAAATTATTAATGCGCCGACGATTCTTTCTCTGTTATGCAAAATTATCAAAAAATGTTTTCCCATATTTTGCGTAAATATTAGATGTTTAAAGATTAGATATCGTGTAAAGAGAGCGAGAGAAAGACACCAAACTTTCAAACACTATAATATCCCTCATGGGGGAGACGACCGTGAAAAGGACTTGATCTGGGAGGATCCTCGTTCGCGAATGACCGTGTAAATAATGATACACGCAACGTGCTGCCGATCGCGTGGCTTCCGATACGATAAATTGGGGGACTCCATTATCGTCTTCGAACGAAAGTCGAGGGTGATTCGAAAGAACAACGGACTTCTTCCCATCGAGGGTCTCCAGAGGAATCTCTGTCCTTTGGAGAAGAGAATTTCTTCTCTCATCTCTCTTCCGCGCTTTCCTTATTTTCTCTTTTTCCCTTTATATCTTTATCCTTCGCTTCAGCGTCTAGTGAAGATCTCTCCCTGTCGTAACCGACGTCGAAATCACGCCTCTTACACGGCAAATAAGTACGTACATATCGGACTGCGAATTATGACGGCGGCTTTATCATGTTTCCCGCGAAACGATTTTTGCCCCATTTAACTTTGATTATGAGTCGTCTCGCGTTACACGAGTTTCAACCCGCGACGCTGGTTTAAGGGCAGCGCTGACAATCGCCGGCGGAAATCTACAGCAGTATCTTTGCTGTGCGCACGTGCAGAGGTTAAAGACCTATTTCTCAATATGCTTCTTTTCTTTTTTTTTTTTACTGTATATACATTATATAATTTATCTAACATCGAAATTGTTCTTAAACGGCTTCGTATTTATTTTAGCTCATTTTTATATTTTTGTTATATCATTCTAATACTTTTATTTTCACGAGATTAAAGACATCACTTTACTTGTACCGATATTTAATTCCTTGAATAATCTTCAATTTGTTTTTATACGTGACACTGCTAGTTCGACTAATTGTAATTACACTAAATTTATCTATAAAATATAGAAAATTTTAACTAGTTCAAGTTTTGTTGCATCTACTTATATTCAATAATTGAGAAGGTTAAATTTATTGTGATTGGATAAATGTCATTTTGACAATGTTATCCGCGATATTCGCGTCTTCGAGAATAATGTCATAGAAATGCAAATCTCGCGTGTCAGTGGATTTAAATTTTGATTGGCTAACAGCTAACATTTAAGACTTGACATTTCCATCGGCTTAAATTACATGTCGGTCAATTATTTCTTTTCTTTTCCGTCCCTTCAGTATATTGCCCGAAACAGCGTAAGATAATCTTAAATTAAACAGCACAGATTTAAGATCTCCTGTCTACTTTTTCATATCTCGCAAGAATTATTTCCCTCTTTTTGTCTCTTATAAATAGCTAAGAATACTTAGCTTTTCTCTTACATCTATACTTCTTTAATATCGGTTAAATTGCAATGTTACATTTCAAATAAAAAGATTGAAAAAAAACTCACCGAAGTTACAGTGCTTTCTTGACTTCCCAATCATTTATGAAAATGATCACTCACCTGCAACAGAAAGAAAAGAACACAGGTTAGCATGATGAAGCACAACTAGAATTCATTTGATCTGTCTTAATTTCTTGATTGTTAGGAATGTCGGATCGTCTTGAATCATTCTGCGCTTTCATGCTACGCAGCAATTTAATCTTCACTCAGTCATTGTTTATACTCAATGAGCCGACTCATCTGATTCATCAGCGTTATGCATTCTTCAAAGAGTGGTCAGAATATCTCGTTATCCGTTGAAAATAGTTACTTTGCTCCATCATGTTTAGTATAAAGATTTCGATAAACTCTATATATCAGTTATTTTAGTAATTGCGATACTACATATAGTATTATTACGCATTTTTTTACATTTTAGTTAATTTAGTTTATTTAATAGAATAATCTTCACTTTTTCATACTGCGAAAACACAATATTAAGCAATTTCCATCATAGGAAAAGGAAACAAAAAAGAATTATTGAATAAAAGAAGAAAGGAAAATAAAGAAAGAAAAATATCAAATTCGTTATTTTGCAGAATTGAATTAAATACGACTCATAGTGTATATTATATAATCTTCTTCTATTAATACACATTATAATTATACAGTATCTTGTTATCGTTGTGAACAAAAGCAGAATAGATCGATGTTAAAATAAAAAAAATTATTACTTAAACTTCTACAAATTTAAAATATTACGGCGAGGTCATGAATGCAATTTGACAGCATAATTATATAACGTATAGATTTTTGCAGACAGTAACGAGATAATGTGACCACTTTGACAGATGTCGGCTGGGAGCCGCTGTTACGTTTGAGAGAAAGAGAAGAAGAGAAAGAGAGAGAGAGAGAGAGAAGGAGCGCTTATGTTCACAATACCACGACCCATATACGAAGCTCGCGCGTTCAACGCATACGAAGTGGGTGGTCGGTCCGGGATCCGCGTTGCAGGTTGAGCGCCTCTGCGACCGAACAAATGAATGAGTGTGGGCGAACACGTGACTGGAGAAGCAAAAGCGCGCCGCTTCAAACCTCCGTATATATTTCCACCCCCTACTCTTCTCTCTACCTCCTACTCTACAGTATCTTCTCTCTTTTCCTCCCTCGCAACATAAATGACTCTTGGCTCCGCGAAATACAAACAATGCTTCGACAAAATTGACTTTAGATGAACAAGATCATTTTTAAAGACATATTTTTATAAAAAATGAGAAGAACAGAGGCGCAAGTTGTATCACTTTTTCGCGCATTTTTTTAAAGGAACAATTAAGTTTAAATAAATTCTCGTCGCACTCGAAATATCTTAGTGTAATGGAACAAATATTTTATATTAATATTCAAAAATAATGTTAAATAAAGAAAAGCTCAGAAAAATATTTAGCTTCCTGTTTGTACAAATTAAATATATTCTTATCTCTATATTTCTTTCAATCATAAAAAGCCAAAATTTTATTAAAACAAAATAATCTTTCCAAATAGTCTAAACTTTAAGTAAAATGTCATAGACATAACAATTTTTTTCGAGCTATTGAATAAGATATCTACATCTAAAAAGCGAGAGACTTCTCAATATATATTTTAATTATAAATAGATAACTTGTCATTATTAAAAAAACTTTAGTAAATTTAACATTAAGAGTGTAAACGAAAGTTATGAACATGGCGTCCAATCAAATTTACTTTGATATGATCACCGTAGTAAAATCATCCAAGGTAAAACATGTAAACTGCGTTCTTTGAACGACTCATAAGACTGTCAGAAGGTTTCATCTCATTTGTGAAAGAATATATGTATGTATATTGGATGTTTATGATTCTCTCAACTCAATCCTTTTAATTTATAATCTCACTATAGAATTTGTAATATCGCATCAAAAATGTCAGGACATCAATCATATTATAAATATTTGAAAATTTTAAATAGTTCCGTGTATTAAGCTTTTATTGTAAAAATAGCTGAAACATTTTTTCATTCAAATTCAATTAGCATTTATGTATTAATAGATTTTTAAGAATTCTCAAAGAATTATTAAAAAATTGTAAAATATATATATTTAAACGTATTTCAAGTTATGTTAAAAGGTAGTTGTGTGAAAAAACCAACAATCGACAAGAAACTCTTTCTGATGAAGAAGAATCCATTAGCTATCGGCTAAAATCATTGTGTGCATGTGACTATATAATACTATATATAGTTCGTACATAGCGAAGCTCTTATATGGTTCTCGTTCTATCCTACTTCACGAATGTATGCGGAACGCATCGTATATGTGCCTACTTCTAACGCGATAAACAAATATTTTCGAATACATTCGTTTTGGTTTATTCAAGGCGATTATTAAGAATGAGTCGCGTAAATCCGCGACTTCGCGGTGGCTCGTTTAACTCCGGAAGATGTTAACTTTCACGACCGAACAGTTTTTCTTCTCCCTCTGCCCCCATCCCTCCCGAGTACCGCAACGTAATCTTGTAAACGCACTGCGTTCTCTTCCGCACTCTCCTTCCTTTTTGCAGAGACTTTTTGCGCTCGTCGGCAAAGCGCCGTTTTGCTCGAAGCCGCCTTTTACGCCGCGATGCGGCCGGAAAATTGCAGCGAGATAAAAGTTTAAAGTCGCTCAGCCGGCGTTTACAAAACGCTAGCTGGTGCGATAGCGCGTGGAAGCGAAGTTTGTCCCTCTTTTTGAAGAATAGAAGAGGTCCTTTAGGGAAAGCACGTACCGTCGCGAGACATGAACGTCGGAAATTAAGAATTATGATAAACGGTCGTATCCGATAATATTATCGCGGAAGAAAATCGACAGATTAAAATCTTCAGAGTATATATTGAAGCACAATAATATCATCATATATATATGTATCTAATTGCATTTTTTTAACAAAAAATTCTTAATAGATATACTTCTCTTTAACTTCATACATGTTAACATTAAAAGAATGATGATCTCAAAATTATATTTTTATACATTTAACACGGGACATGTATGTCTGATTTTTTCTAACCAAATAGAAAAAAATCTTTAGTGTACTTCACTTTCATTATTTTCTATTTTAATTCAAGAGCCCTAGTCAAATGCACGGAAATCGGGAATTGTTTCTCAGAGAATCGAATAGAAATTGGTTTTACAAAGACTATAATAAAGTTTTTCTTTTCGGCTTGATTTCACGCCACTTCCGAAAGGAATCGTTTGTCTGGTAAATATCTCGCGAGTTAAAGAACCGCGGGGCAGACGCCGAGAATGCGTCATGACTCAAGCTTACGTAATCGCACGTACTTACGTCGTGTATACATATCGCGTGCACGCGTGTTTCCCCGTCGTTGTCGTGTGTCGTGTGCTTGCGTGCGCACGTCCGACGTAGACGGCACGGTCCCTGTTTGCAATGACTAATACACGTAATATTGCCTCGACACACACATTACACAGCGTCTTCCGTCCGCGTTTTGACGCACGGCCATGCGAGGATATGCGCATTAGAGCGTCGCTTATACTGGGTGTTCGCCAAATTCGTCGCGCGTTTCATCTCTGCGTAAAATTTATCTCGGAATTTTCCTTCCAAAAATTCGCGCGACGACAAGTCTTACTTTAATACCGCATTATAATCGAACCGTAATTTCCATTTCAAATTCCGTTTGAATTAAATAAAATATGACATTTTGTCTATTTATGCTCCGAAAGTTGGATTCACTGCAGGACACATGCATATAAAATTTCTTTGTGCATCGTAATAAAAATTTAATAATCGCTGTAGGATGATAACGTCGATAAACTATCGATGCATTGTTTATAGCTCAGGCATTGGAAAGTAAGAGAGACTTTAATATGTATATGTGCAAACGTATAGGACTATGCATATGCGCTTATATACATATGCCTGTGTGCATGAGAGTGTCTGCAATCTCCGCGAATACTGTCGAGGATGGAGAATAATGAATATGAGAAACCGGAAGATCCAATATTCAGCGGCTATATTCCATTTTCAGGCAATTATCGGTTTATTTAATTGAACTATTAATTGGATCGTCCGACGTAACGCACACGTCGCGCCACCGTACTTGCGATCAAATTGAATAAACGTCGTGCAGGATTACTTGGGTAAACGCTATCGATTCTAGCTTTCGTTGGAAGAATGAGGGTATCAGGGATATGCGAGATATATACTCGATCTTTTGGAGTATTAGATTTAAATGTGACTGCGATGTAGCCAAGTCCGATTCGATCACTTCGAGTCACTTGGGACAAAAAAATAAATTTTCAATCTTCGTATACCGAAATTCGCCTGTATATCTTAAAAAAAAAATATTGTATCTTTACCAAATTAAGAGAAAATAATTGTAAAACAGCAACTACAAAATTAAAAAATTTCGAATAATGACTACTGTTAATACATCTATAATCAAACATAATTGTCATCACGCTTCTTTAATCATAGATTTTTTAATAGATATAAATAGCTATGTGTTATAAATAATAACCATATTATATTTGAATTATAAATTTAAATATAATTCGGATATGATCTGATTGTAATATGATACAATCGATACAAAAGATATGATAATAAATAAAAAGAAATTTGCTTTAATTTTTTCTACTTTTACGATATTCGTCTCGATAAAAATTTAAAAACATTTTTATATTAAATCGCGATATAGCTGAAAATAAATGGTGAATAAAATATTTATATATAATCGAAAATAATAAAGAAAATAATCTCGTATGCAATACAACATAATCAAAACATTTTTCGTTCGGCAATTAAATTCGGTGCTTCCTCTTTAAAAACTTCAATACTGGACTCCCACGTCGAGCGTGCGTTTTTTTTCAACACCACTCCGCAAACAAATTGCGCGCAGACTAGCAACGTGCGCAATGTTCGTTGATCTCGCCGAAGGTAGTTAAAACATTTTATAACAGCACGAAAGGGAGTACGCGCGCTCTCTCCCGCCGACTCAATTATTTTTACACAACCCACGACACTTCCGAAAATCATTTCTCGTTGAATTTTGTCGCGCAAGAGGT